GGGGGGTACACATGGCCTCACAGTTACGTACGATATCATTAATCTTGGGGCAGGCAATCATTTATAAACTGAAAACTAAGTGAAATATTACGTGTGCTACGATAAAAGTTCACTTGATTGCATTCGTCGAGTTATAATCTAATGATGCTAAAAATCTTATATTATTTTAAAAGTTTATTGACTCACGCAATAATGTTTAGATTTCATTCAATATGCATACTGGATACAAAATGACATTTAACTTATGCTTGGCATTTTCTTATTGTAGGATATTTATTCCGCTAGTCACAGTTTGAGAGTTATTTCTTCCATGTTTGAATTTCCTTTTAATTGTAAGGGAAATTATGAATAGTTGGAAGTACAAATATAAACTATTGAGAGGGCTATTATTACTAATTGGAACGCATGATGGTATCCCAACGGGAGTGATAGATTTTATTACCGAGCGATATATCTTCCGTCGAGAGTAATCAGTGAACAGGTCTAGACCGGCTGACTACCTGTGTTAAAAGAAACCGTAAAATCTTAAAAGCTCATTACTCACGTTTTAATAGCGACAAGGCGGACGAAATCGATTAAGTTGCTGCCTAATCGGTGTCGTTAATAAAGAATATAGCGAATACAGATAATAATAAGATCCAACAAATAATTACAAGATGTAACAATCTTTTACAACCATTTTACAACTATATTTATAAAAAATCCTTGGATCTGTAAGCATTTTTGCGATTTAATAATGAAATTTTAAGAGATATTTGATATAAATGGTAAAATTATTTTGGGTTCCTAATGTAAAGTAGTTATATTTGTCCGTCGACTTACCTTATAAGGACCCTGGTCGAAGCCGCAGAAGGAGGCCTCCATAGTGTAGGAGCGCGCGACCGCGAGGTGGCGCCACACGGTGACACGCGCCGTACTCTCCCGCTCCCTCTCCACTCGGAAGGAGCACGAGCCAAGTGCGAACGCTCCTGATATGCGGTGCATCAGAGCTGGCAGCATCTGTACGCCAAATACGTTGGTAAAAGCTTTATAAGCTTTATCGTAATATTAATAACAAATATTTAAATTTGATTAAGAATAGTTTCATCTTGATAAAATTCCAAAGGAAACATTGTATAGATATGATCATTATTTTTATCTATGACTTGTATTTGTTATGAATATAGTATCTCTTCGGAGAAAATACATACATATCTTGAATAGTAATTCGCGATATTACTTACTTGCTTATGCAATATCCATAAATATGCAATAATCTTAATCCTATGCAATACACCGCTTCCGATGATTCGATCTTGACATTCCGATAAATGTTCATTGCTACCCGGCCGATACATTGGCAAATATAAACATGCAGAACTTGATTTCCTTCGTGGAATGAAGTTTTGTACTGTCTTTTAAACGTAAGAGATATCTACTAGTACTTGTTACTAGGCGCATACCGTTAGGTGTGCATATACCGTGATTTTCAAAACATTAGACAAATCAATCCTTTCGTTTGTGATCGTCGTCCTAAAGTTGGAAATTATACGGGATTTTGTACATAAAGTAGTTAGGTATATAAAAAAAGTAACGTATGCAAGTTATACAAAAACATGTCTAATTACGACCGGTTTGCACTGAACGTGAGCTAACAGTGCCGTATACCCGATTCCGAGATGTGCAAGTAGATTTACGATAACGTGTCGCAGAGGTGCATACAAATAGCGCCATCTGGGGAGCGAGGATCGTTACCGGGCCGCGTGAATGGAAGTCGCCGTCGCATTTGGTAAGGCAACTCACGAGGTATTTGACGGGCTCGTCGGGCGCGAGGCGGTCGGTGTTCGACCAGCTCTCGGCGCCAGCGCACCCGTAGAAGAAAACATTCTTCTTGCGCGAGTGACCATGGTAGTCGCAAAACACCAGCGGCGGTTTCTTCCAAACTCGCACCAGATATTCTATAAGGCCCTGAGAATTAAAATGTGCATTTTAAGCTGGTATAATATTAGACATATCTTTGTTACAGACCTAGTTAGAATTTGTTTTATAGAACTTAAAGCAGGAGAAACTGATACTGTTTTCATACATGTCATTTCCGTGTTACGTTTACATGAAGGCTTATTCAATTCATATATGTTGAACATGATAATATATTGCTACGTGGTTTCTCATTCATGCTACAACAAAACATCTACAAAACAAATCATCTAAACATTTATATGTACATAGTTTCAAGATCACGTGCATAAATACCTTGGTGTGGTAGATTGAAGGATGTAAAACGGGGCTCGGCTTGCACCAGCGACGATTTAAATCTTCATTAGTTAAGCCGCATCGATGGCTGGAACAACGCACAGACATTATCCGAGACGTCAAGGAAGCTTCCCGACGAGTTATCGAGACTCGCCGGGACTGATCGGGACTGGCCGAGACTCGCCGGGACTAGCTGCGACTCGCCTGTCCGTGTCTATTGAAATGACACGATCATGGCTCGCAAGACAGCAATCCCTCTTACGATATTGCCTCCCTAATGCTCCTCTAAATCATTTCATCCGGAAATAATCACTGAACTGAGTAAATTTATAATTGCCGTATTAAATTAATTTTGATGAGAAATGTAACGTTATACATTTCACGTAGCATACTTAACTATCGGTTATTGTCAGATAAAATAGCTTTATTTAAGTATGAAATACATCACAACAAACTTCACCGGTGCTGTGCCATAAAAGCGTCATGGCGAATCATCTTTTTACAGCGCAATAAAAGGTTACTAATGTAGCGGTTAAATTTGACGCGTGACCCGACTGCGGAGAAAGCAATGCATGAAACAATCAATGATTCAGCAACGTATAAGGATGGACGATTGACAAAGGGGGCTTCGAGGGGACAATTAAAGTGACAAGCTATTAAATGAAATGAATTGCTGACCACGTAGCTGCCCGACGCGTCCTGGGACATAAGACGGGGCTCAAGTGTTCCTGCGCACTGTTTTGTTTTATTATTGTACTTTATGACGTCATTACGATCGTGCTGGAATAAAACTTATACTATAAATTGTCACTTTTTTTCAAATCTATTCAATTTGAATAAAGTATCTTTAAATTAAGATTAATTGCGATTAGCAACATCTGAGCCGTAGAATAATATTTTTATTCATTCGATTTATTATCTGTAAATAGTGTTTGGAGTTAATTAACAACACACAATAACAATTATTTCAAACACAAAATCATTTTAAATATTGTTATTTGGAATTACGACACCATTTATAACTTTAATTTCAATCTCATTTTAGAAAACAAAACGTACAGTCGAACCTTTTTAGAGTCTGTTGAAAAATAAAAGACAATTAAATTTCGCATCTATTTTAATTTCAAAACAATCACGAAACGCGTTAGCTATCGTTTTTGAATTCCTTAATCCTTCATTATAAATTACAGGTTCAAAGTCTGCGATCGCTTATTAAGCTGCCACAGTCGATACGCGATGTGTACAGATAATGTATCTTTTTAACACATTATAATACAACAGGTTTAATTGGTTGAAAAGTAATAAATTGCAGTGTGAATCCGAAGCGTGTGTCGAGTCATGTGCCGGCGCCGGATCGAGACGAACAATAAAAATGTTAAAGAACTATGCAACACAAACAAATCGAGCCGGGAATGAATTAAGACAATCGTACGCCCGGATAAGAGTATTAATTTAAATACTTTTTTATCGTTAAAGTATTAAAAAACTTCTTTTGCATAACATCGATAGTTATTTCTTTAAATCGAAGGATACAGGATGTGGTATTGTCGGTCGTAAATTTGGGTATTCCTGTGGATTTAAAACTCACATAACAATGGAATAAACTAAATATATTATGCTTTCATCCCAAAGCTATTTCTAAAGCAGTATTATAACTTCTGTAATAAGGTTTTATTTGTTACTTTTTGTAAGTAAATGTAGTTTGTACGAATGTAATGTTCACGTGCTTCTAATCGTTGTCTAACATTGCACATCGTTGGTCGTGAATTTGCTTATTTCCTCTTTCGAGTGTGCCCTTAGTTTAATTAAGATCTAACAAGATACATACAATTTATTTTAGTACAGAAAAGCTTCACAAAGCTCTTGTAATCTTAACACGTGTTTATTGTACTTTGTACGAAAGTAACGGACACTTTGTATTTATTTTTTATTCTAGTAAAGTAAAGTAATATGTAACAACATTGTATTGTATACTGTAAGTGAAAATAACAGTTGGGTTATTACTTACAGCTAGTTGTAGGCAGAGCTTTCGTAGAGTGCATCTGCAATCTACGACGGTTGACTGCCAGCTGGTGTTATTAGAGAGCAATTCTTACGTCGCACAGACGAAGACATTAATTGATGACCCATTTATTTAAAATGACGTCTGACATTAACTTTACTTCAACTATCGGAACACATATCATTAAAAACGGTTTTTCAATCCGACTACTATTTGCTAATAAGCAAACTAGCCTAAAGCTTCGCTTTCATACACATACTTTACTGTTTGTGTTAATTTTGGGTTATGTTTATTGTGTAAAAAAAATGTAAATTAGGTTAAGTTTGTGGAAATTTTTCTGAAAAATAAGTATTTTGTTCATCTTTTTTTTTATTTTCAACAATGGCAAAGACAAATACGTGATTACCAAATGACATATCGTCGCTCGTTCATTTCATAGTATTTCAGCGAATTTCGCCAATTGAATAACTTCCTGAGAAGCAATTTATTTTTATTATCATACTTCAGAAAGAATTGGATAAGGAAAAAAGCGATGTAAATTGCATCGACAAATTATTGTAGAGATATGCGCGTGATTCAAACTTAAATACGTTTAAATTGCAAGTGAAATGTTTGATTTAACGACCGAGAGTATAAGCGGTAAGAAACAATGTGTTTGCTTGTGGTGGTTTTTTCCTGGTGACGAGTGGTCGGCGTACGTCCAATTAGGGGAGTACGAAGGCGCATCATTAGCGGGCGACGTGGGCTATGCGGCCGCGAGGGCGCGGGTCCTGCGCGGCCTTCGCCTGTCCCCTAGCACCCGTCGCCTCGCCCCGACCGGTTGCGCATCTTTTACTCTAATCAGCCAGGAAAAAAATAAGCGGCCGTCGTGCGCATGCGCGAACGAAAGCAAGCGCGAGCGAGAGGACGCGCCATGCTCACAGCACCGTGTCGTGCTGTATGGAGAGTTTTGCGGTATCTTCGCTCAGCCAGTAAACAACATGCTGTTAGAAGTTTAGAAAAAATTACTACTTATTAGGAGGTTGAAGTATTTAGAAGCTATCGTCATCGTTTCACCTACTACACATATAGATGGTACAAGACTACGCTTAACGTTGGCTTTACGTTTGTTTCAAGTTATTTGGAGCGTAAAAGGTTTTCTTTGTAAATTGTTTGCAAAAGATAAATCAATCAAGCAAACAACACAAAATAAGCATCGAGATAAATGTACAAGTGCAGTTGGGGCCCTTTGAGGTGTGCTGTGACGACCGCGGCTGGTTCAAGGGTCTGCCATCTATTTATAGAGCGCGCGGCGCGATGCTATCGGGCCCCGGCCACGCTGCGGCTCGCACGATCTACACCCGCCCTCGTTGCACCCTCCGAACGCAGCGGTTGCTCAATAAAATAGACCAAGAAAAAAAGGCCATATTACATTTATTCGAGCTATTTATATCACGTGTCCATTGTTTGAGCCTCGGCTGGAATTAATCGCTGGCAGGCAATTTAGTCCCGCGTCCAGATACCCTTTAAAAAAACGACTCGCAGCTATTTGCATGCATGTGATTCCGTCGGGGTCGCTTCATGGGATGAGGGGTACGATCGACGTCGATGACGGTTAGATGAGTCGGCTGGGTTGGCGGAATGGTGCGGGGCACACGCCTCTCATCCGTATGCCGCGCGCGACTGCCGCTTCCTGTGCCTAGCGCCGAGAGGACGTAGCGAGGCGACTCTTGTCGACATTTTAGATTCATCCGTCGAAGTAACCCGCATGTTTATTCGTCACTAGAGATGCTAATAAGCGAAGGCGATGGGCACAGACGACATTTATGGAGTGTTCTCGTGCAGAAGGCACAGATGTGGGTATTTGCTAGGACCGAGCCGCGGGAGCTGACGATTCAGTATTCGAGCGTGCCGCGGGCCACCGGACACGGCGCGAGTTATTTACGACGGCCGCGAGACAATCGTCCGGTCTGCGCTCATCCGGTGCCACCGACGACGCGCTGCCAATACCGTGACGTACTCGTCTTTATTAAATGCCTTCCTTTGAAATTAACACACGTTTCTAGCTCGTATTGTATGAGGTATTAATGTATTGTTCTAAGTATGCTAATATTATGGGCGATAAGAGCTGTAGAATGTGCGGAAGTAGTAAAAAGCGTAATGAATATGTAGGGAAATAATTCTTACACTAATGAATGCAATGAATATCTAGTTGCATTCCTAATCAGTTATTATGTAATTTTCACTTTTACTCCAATAAAAATGATAAATCTCATTGTAACATGGTTATATAACCGAGGTACAGTATTGACTTTGTAGAGTCAAAGTTGTCGTGGTTGTGTCGCGACATTAACGGTCTAAAAGCAATGGTTGCACTAATTGATTTTATTTTTATAATTAAATAATTTAATTGATTTTATTTGCCGAGTGTTGGCGGAAGCAGAGCGTTTAGTCGCATCTCGGGTCAATGACCACAACCCTCACCGCGCACTGTGCCGCTGGAATGCAGCTAAACACCGCAATACACATTGTAGAAGCACTTCTTGACACACAAAGTAGTCGAACATGAAGTAAATCATGCGAGATGCAAATCCTCAATCCTGATTCATTGGTACTTATGTTATAAATCGTGTAGACATTTTAAAATTGTACATTTTGCTTAGACATTTTTAAATATAACACTTAGGAAAGTAGCTCTTACAAGATTGAGATAGAACATTAGATGAGAAAAAAAGAAAAATAACATGTGTTGCTTGGATCAATGTAACATCGATTAATTATTTATTATTGACCAAAGAATGTCTTTCTATATGTAGAACAAAAATACAAATCTTTCCTCTTTATAATCTTACTAAACTAATATTATAAATGCGAAAGTTTAGATGGATGGATGGATGTTTGTTAGAGTTTGTAACCTAAACGACTCAACGGATCTCGATGAAATTTTGCATAGATGTAGAGTATGGTCTGAAAGAACACATAGGCTACTTAGTTTTTATTTAATTGCACATGAACGGAGTCGCGGGCAAAAGCAAGTATTAATATAGATGTAGGAAGTGATTAATAACAATCAAAAACTCTTTATGTTGATTGTTCAATAGTTCTTT